TCGACCCGCGCGAGGTGAGGCCGGGCCCGGGGGGACCCCTTGTCGCCACGTGGCACCAGCCCTGGCGCTCAGAGGGGCTTCCCGTAGCATCCGACTCTCCTCTCCCTTGTAAGGCTGTGGGATTCACTGGAACGTTCGGGAGTGGGCCATTCCAAGGAAACGTTGGTGGCTTTACACGTTTTCTGACGTGTTTGGGGAGTGATGTCCAATGGTCTGTTACAAGGTAGAACAAGGGTTTTTAAGGCTAGTGAACCCAGGATTTTGGGGATTTACCTCTGAATCTTGCCACAGGGTGATACTGGCCTCATTCAACAGCTTTGCCTTGCTTTTTGGCCTTCATGTGACAAAGACTGTTCATTTATTTATTTATTTAATATAATCAAAGAATAGCAGACTGGCTGAGGTTGGAAGGGATCTCTAGCAATCATCTATTGTTAGTATAATACTAGCAATAATACAGTTGTCATATAAACAGTATTAATAATAACAAGGTTAATTAAAATAATATTGTTAATAACAATAATAATGGTGTCTCTATGTAGGCCTGACATTTTTAATCCAAAACGTATCCCAAGTGTTTAAAGGTCTGGAGAAAAGCAATAGGGCTATGTTGACGGCCTCAGCGAAAAAGTGAAGGGGATTCAGCTGAAAGCAATGGAACTTTCTTTATCAAGTATCTCAGAATAACTTCATAAAAATTAACTTATTTCTAGGCATACCCAGATGGAAGTAGCAAAGAAAAGCGGAGAGCTGCAATCGCGCAGGCTTTAGCTGGAGAAGTCAGTGTGGTGCCTCCATCTCGTCTTATGGCTTTGCTGGGCCAGGTAATCCTTGAGGAAAGGAGAGAAAAAGAGAAAGTTTTAGTAGCCGTGTGAATTTCAGTAGATGAAGGTGATAATTTCACTGTGTAACAGCTGGTTGTTTCTACAGTTCTGTAGAAATAAAGCTTGAATACTGCACACTTACACATATTGTATTTAAAAAACAACGTTCTATTCCAGTGGCAAGAATATAGCAATTTAGGAACACTGATCATTGTAAAGGCAGATTTCTTCTCATAGAATTGCTTAGACTTAGAGTAGTTATTCTCAAAACAAATATTAATGCTTGCGAAAGATATTTTATGATGTTAAGCTTGTAACTGCTGTTTCTAAGAACATATTTGCTTATGCTCTGCATAAGCGATAATTTATATTTTGTTATTTTAAGGTTTAAGGTTTAAAACTAATAAATATGCTGAATAAATTATCTTGTAATGTGTCCTGTGACACGAGTCAGCTAATCTGTTCGAGGGGCTTTACAAGACTCTGTTAAGATGAACTGTGTGTTCAAAGAAAGTTTACATATCCTTTTAACTTTGCTGCTTTGAGTTACCAGCAAATGGACAAATGATCAGGTAATTTGAGTTAAAGAAAGATCAAACTTGTCACTCTGTGTGCATAGTATATACTAAGTATCAAAGGCTGATTTTAGACCTGCTCTTCTCATTCTGTTTCACTCCCAAATAGCATTGGAGAATAAATGTTGCCCATTCTGTTTCCAGTCAAGATTTGGGAAGGACAACTTAAGAAATCTTACTTGTAGTTGAGTCAAGTCACAAACTCTGTAGTGTGCGCTTTCTGTGTACAAGAAAATACTGCTTAATTCTAGCTTTTGTACCAAAATGCTTGTGAAGATTTCTGTTAACTGATACCTAACTGTCTGCGGGATTCCCACTTTTCCGAAGGCGTTGAAGTGGCAGCAGCATCAGGGCCTGCTTCCTCCTGGTATGACAATTGACTTGTTCCGAGGCAAAGCAGCCGTGAAAGATGTGGAGGAAGAAAAGTTCCCCACACAGCTGAGCAGACACATAAAGGTGAGATTTCATTTGCTCTTTGTATGTATTATTGCTGTTTGTTCCTTCTTCCGAGAACCCCTGAAGTTTTGGTAATAACCTATATAACATAATCTGTATTTTCATTAAAAATTTTACCGTACTCATTTCAAAAGAGCAACAAAATAGTGCTGTAACATCGTAGTGGTTTCACATTGCTTACAATGCAGAGTAGGCAGCGTTTTCCTCTGAATGTTTTGCATCTAGGTCAAGCAGTTCCCTGAAGCCAGAAACTTCAGTTCACTGTAGTATCTCTGCCAGGTCTCATGTGCGTGGAAGATGCCACTTTTCAGGAGTCATGAATTGGTGTGTGTGAAATCCTTGTTGCATGTAGTGGCAACTTGACAGAAATACTTCATTAGTACTGGTAAAGGAAGTAGAAAAAAAATGATTTGGGGATTTTTGTATTGATTAATGAAAACAGTTTTTATCCTTGGTTGTCATTT